AAAAAGAACCGTCATGTTATGGTGACGAATAGAAATCGAGAAATGCGGAGATGGTTATCGCCGTCGTGTTCAGTTCAGGATCTGATCGCGATTCGAGTGTTGAAATTCGATATTGGTGCAGTTATAATTACCTAATATTTCTGTTATCTGTTTAAAATGTGGCGTCCTTGGACAAGTACTAATAGTAATAACAAGTGTGATAATAACGCAGACTTTTTCCAGTGTAGTGATTCCAATAGCGATGGTGTACAATGCGAAAAAGAGATACCAGAGGATGTGTTTTAATGCATATAAGAATCTACATATCAAGTTTGGTTTTGAGGGAAACAAACTATTACAAGCAACATCAGATTTGACCAAAATTCCTTTCTCAACTGTACGTAAAACAGACAAAAACAAACCTTATGAACACAAGACGCGATGTGATATAGGATTACTAAAACCTTTAGATGTTCATCTAATAAAATCATTGAAAAAACAATATACGACTATCACAAAAGCAATGAGATTTCTACAATTGAAATCATAAGAAATAAACTGAATCTTCCGGCCATAACGTGAGCTGCTGTGACAGAACTCTTCAGAATTGGACGAAGAAACTAGGGTTTAGATTTAAAATAATAAACAAACGTCAAGCAGTTATTGAAAGCAGAAGAATAGTGGGATTGCGTAACAAATACTTAGAACAAATAGTATGTTGAAAAGTATGGACAACATACTGAGACTTCCCCCCTATTTTTGTGTTTTCAATCCCATCGAGTTGATTTGGGAAAAATTGAAAACAAAGCATAGGCGTAAAAACGTATTATTTCAGTTATAGGAATCTCATTGCTTTGTAACAGTCGTATATTTTTTTTTTCAATTATTTTATTAGATGAACATCTAAAGGTTTTGGTAATCGTGTATCACATCCCATCTTGTGTTCATAAGGTTTGTTTTTGTCTATTTTACGTATAGTTGAAACACATCCTCTGGTATTTCTGCACGACTGCACCAATATCGAATTTCAAAACTCAAATCGCTATCGGTTCCTGAACTGAACATTGATGACTCAGCGGCGATAACCATCCCCACATTATTCGATTTCTGTTCGTCACCTTAACATTACTTTAAATTTATCTTCATGTTGGGGTCTGCAACTTATCAGAACACCCTCGTAAATGTGACATATCCAAATCGTAATGAGATAAATGTGGCTTGACTGATGTATGAAATATACACTTTCTGAATCTCTAGGTATAGAAGAAAATCTACCATATCGTCACTTCATGGTATGTAGACCAGAAGTATCAGTATTAGAGTTGCACCCAGAGGAAGGTCAAGTGCCTAAGTTGACTGAAGACTTATTCAGGAGTTTATTCAATGAAGTGGGGCAGCTGGAAGACGACCTAACTCTGAAGTACATTAAGTAAGTGGGAATTAGACAAATTATTTTATTTCTATATCTATATCATTTGATTGTAGTTTATCCTAATCACAAAAAGATCAGCATTCAAAATGATTTTTCAAAATGGGAACATCGCAGTTTTTTGTGACAGGAAAAAATTTATAGGATTTAAAAATTATTATTATTCAGTTGGGATGATTGACCAATATTTCACTATTGAAATTGGAAAAATCCTTTTTTTTTCAGGAATACGAAGAGATTAACAGGAGACGTTTCGATCTTAACGAGAACCAATTGAATCATTTCAGGAGAAAGATTCAGAGCGTTGTTGAAAAAGACGTCGTTAGAACTGATAGAGGAAATCCGTTTTTTGCTGGAGACAATAACCCAAACATTGCTATAATGAAGAATATTCTACTTAATTATGCCGTTTATAATCCAGGATTGGGGTAAATAGTTTACATATTTTTTGAGGGTGTCGGAGGGTGGTTTGAAAAGTTTCCGACCTCAACTTGAAGATAGCGGCACTCGTAAATAAAAGCTAGTGAATTTCGTTGTTCATCTGCTGACAGTTACTCACCAAAGTTTCAGCAATTTTGGTCGCGTAGTTGTTATGTAACAGTTGTCTGAATGAGTTGAGTCATGGAGTTATATTAATCGATTATTTTTAAGAAGGAAAAACTATTGCAGAACTTGCGGAAAAACCGCCACATTTTCAGAAAAAAAATCTGTTTTACCAAGGCAACGAATCGTTTCACACCTCAGCGGTTGCCATGGCAAAAATCCTTGAGTTACGGTTTGAACTGCCGGACCATCCGCCTTAGGTTAGGTTAGGTTCAAAGTGAGTGGGTCTATTCGAACCTCCACCGCAACCCGCAAGGGTTTATTGTGGCTCACACTCGACCAAATAAACTCAGCTTTTCAACGAAGCCGATTAGTCTGTATGGTGAGTGGTCTTTCAGGTCCCCAGAGGGGCAGACACAAAAATATGGTCTGCTGTTTCATCGTTAATAAGGTAGTCGGATGCAAGATTCCCACATTGATACCTGCGACAACTTTGCCATATGAGGGTTCTTGAACGTCAGCTACACCTGACGAAGCCTTAGATAAAACCGTGCAGGGCTTTTTTGCCTCTGGTTTTGGTGAATCATCACTTGAGCGCAAAAGTTTGCTAACCTGCTCATGGGGGGTTTGTTCCTCCACCTGAGACAGATTCTGCGTACGCTGCTCAAGAATTTGGTGCTAGGCGGTTTCATAAGGTACCCCACTCTTGAGGAGACGACTCAGTCGTTTCCTGGCTGCACCACCAAACCATTTTTGTAGGTTCAGTTATTGGATCAGGAGTTGGAGAGTTGAGAAGCTTTCGCTCCTGAACTAAATTTACAGGGAGGTCAGTTGGAGTCGTAAACTCGACATCTTTCTCTTTAGACTCGCTCCTGAACTAAATTTACAGAAAGGTCAGTTGGAGTCGTGAACTCGACATCCATCTCCTTTGTAGACTCGCTCCTGATCTAAATTTACAGGGAGGCCAGTTGGAGTCGTAAGCTCGACATCCATCTCTTCTATAGACTCAGCGCCAGAAAGAATTTTTAAGTTTACTCTCTCCATTAAAATCCCACGATTAGCTAGGGAAAGAAGGTCGATCACGGCAGAGCTCCGCATTACCGTGACAAGGCGATGCTACCAGGAAAGGACGCCCGTTGAGACAGCTGATAGGCTCAGTGTCATTCATCCTTTCAGCACGGATACACACACCTTAGTATTAAGCCATCGTTGGGATGCCATTCAGTTGGGGAATAACAAAACCACAAGTGATTCTGTCATTCCCGTATCCACTGACGTGAAAGCATGCATCATTCGATCATATTTCAAACAATGTCACTGATTTTTAGCTTGGCGTGAATTTAGGTACCTTTACTCTTATTTTTTGGTCTAATTTGACTGGACAATAATCTGCTATATTGGTTTGGCTCGGTTGCAGAAAGTTATAATGAATCACACTAGTCGCTGACCAAAATACAGTAGCCATGGTCTTTTCTGTTGGGTTTTCGCCTTTGGGAAGTGCCTGGATGGTTCATCGGTTACCAACCACTATCCTGAACATCTCCTGTTATCGTGGAGGATCCATTTTTCTTCACACCTGACGATCAGATCCAAAAAAGGGTCGTTTTGGTTGTGCAAAAGTAAAGAAGAACGGACCTCGAAATGTGACAATTTCTGTTGATCGTTCAAATCGTGCAGCACCCACTTTTCGAACTTTTTCAACTGTCCAATACGTTTTAAACCATCAAAAACCGCATGGGAGCTGGGTCAGTCTCCACCAGAGTCCTTAAATCGTCGCGCGGCAGCGCTTTGGTTCTTATTCAATTCGTCAACATTGATTTTTGAAGGTTAGGTTTTTAAATCATACACCATATTAGAGTATTACCTACAGATTTGAAAAATTATTTTTGTTCTTGAGTCTGATGGATTCACACCAAAAAAAAACAAAAATTTTGTCTGAAGATGAAGTAACTAACTAAGTTTTTTGTTGGAGACAGATGATCATATATGGTTGCTCTTAACGTCCGCCGGCCGTTGAAAAATCTTTACGGACGGAGGCTGTTCACATTAACTTTTCAAATGTCATCTGAATACCGGTAAATCAAAATAACATCATCAATATAGTATAAAATTCTCTATCGAACAGTATATATTACGACACAGTAGAATAAATATTTGTTGTGATATGGAACTATGAAAACGCATGACATCAAAACGGACCAAACTTATATTGAAAAAAATATTCCATTTCAGATACACACAAGGCATGAGTGATCTGTTATCCCCTGTGCTATATGAGCTCCAAGACGAAGTAGCAGCCTTCTGGTGCTTTGTAGGCCTGATGCAAAGGGCTGTATTCGTAGCCACCCCTACAGATAGGGACATGGACAGGTGTCTGCGTTACTTGCGTGAGTTGATCAGACTGATGGTCCCCAAGTTTCACGAGCACTTGAAGAAACACAAAGATGCCACCGAGCTTCTTTTTTGCCACAGGTGGATTCTATTGTGAGTATTTTCGCCTCTGGAAACACAGAGGATAATTTGATTCTTGTAGGTGCTTCAAGAGAGAGTTTACCGAGGCTGTAGCCTTGAGGATGTGGGAGGCTTGCTGGGCGAATTATTTAACAGATTATTTCCATTTGTTCCTTTGTTTAGCCATAATTTCTGTTTATGCCGATGACGTGATTGCTCAAGATCTTCGGTCTGATGAAATGTTGCTACATTTCAGTTCCCTAGGTGAGTTTTTTCCATTTCTGATATTATTTAGTGGAATATCAGTTCAAGTATGATCTTGGTATGATCATAGGTTATTCAAAATAGAAGGATATTAGTTATAATAATTATTATTATTCACCATGAAAGTACAATTGAAAAAAACAAGAAGAGGAAAAGAAAACAACTTTCAGTATAAAGTTGAATAGCAATAATTGACTAGTAACAAAGAAGTCGAGTTGACAGTGATACTGTCATGACAAGATCAGAAAATATATGCAAACGCTGTAGAAAATTTCTTTTTGTAATGCCAAGGTCGGGAACGGACGAAAGACTAGACAGTTAAATAGATCTTTAGTATTTTTTGAAGTGTTTTATTGTATATGATCTAAATTCACGGGGTAGTTAATTGTAATGTTTAGGTGCATTTTACGAGAAGCAGCTGGTGAAGATTTGAGTTTGAGGATGACTAAAACTGAACTGTTCTTTATGGTAAAACTACTTATTGTTGAGAATGTTTTAAGCCTCTTCAGTGAGTGATCAGTTTGACAAGGTATCAAAACTTTGTGTGCTGAATAGATCTTCATTGTTTAAAATGGTGAGTATACCGTAAAAGGGTGAGTGGCGGGGGAACCACTGTCTTCCTCTTACGGGTGTTAGACAGGCCCCCGGTGCAGATCACACGGCACTCATCCAATAAAGTTATCGGTCAACCACCCAATCCCGCAGCTGCGGGCAACAGGCGTTGGCCGGTCTCAAGCTAGATGTGTGGGAAAGGTGTCTCGCAAGAGCCCTCGGCGGTTACTCATCCAACGCTGGAAAGGTAGCTTTCCTAACATGAGTGCCACTCCCGGGTACGTAAGGGTATACGGTGCAAACCACACGGCGTACACCCAAAAGTTGTTGGCGAACCGCCCTACCCCGCACCTACACGGGTAATGGGCGCGACGTCTTCGACATAAGATGTGTGGTAGAGGACACTCGAAAGAGTCTTCGACGGTTACTCATCAAACGTTGGAGAAGGAACTTTCCTAACATGAGTTCTAGGATGAAAGTGAGAGGCTGCTCGCGGCTGAGGCTAGCGAGCCTCATCTCCAATTGGCGTTGGCCTCTTAGGGGCAGCGGCTCCACTAGCGGGTAAAGGGATAGGGTTGCGGTAATCCATTCATGGGTGCATTGCAGCCCCATACCGAGGCACTGGACGGTTTATGCTGTTCCGTGATCCTCGCCTGCTTCTGTATGGATCCAAGCGTTCGAGGTGTCGGGGCTCGCGGTCCCTCCAACGGGCACTAGTATCCGAGTCTAGTCTTGGAGGGCACCAAGGCAGACGTTCGAGGTGTCGGACCCCGGATGGTCGGAGCTACTAGTATCCAAGCTTAGGATCCCGACCTGTCACTTCCGGGACTATAGCCCCAACTGATTTGGCAAGGTTGGCGGGGGCAGGTGAGCGACGCGAGCACTCTCTGGCGAAAGTTGAGCTTAGTTAACTTGTACGAACGTTCGGTCGAACGTTGCCGAAGGTCCTGTCTCTTGGTTAGCCACACTAAGTAGATTTAAGGAGGCAACTCCGGGTTCGGCGTAGCGGGAGGAAGCCCTGCGAAATCCTGTTGGTATGGTCGAGGGGCGGTACCCGCAAGGATTTCCCGAAAATCCACCCCACCATGCCCGATCGCATCCAACGCCAGGGTGCGTGGTATACCAAAAGACTAGAATTTGTATGCAAAATACTCTTCCAAACTGTAGAAGCACTTTGCCAAAACAAAGTCCTTTACTGCTTTTCTAAATTTTTCAAGTTCATCAATTGATATAACATGTTGTGGGTAATGATTATTTTTTTGTCTACTTCTATAGATTTGAGACTGCCTGGTCAAAGATGATGTGAGCAGTGGAAGGGCAAGTGGTTTATCGCTACGCGTAGACCTTTCTGTATGGCTTTCAAACTTCTCTTAACCGGTTTCCAATTGTTGCTACAAAATACATATTTTGAGCCTCACGTTGGGCGCCATATAGAGTCTTGAAAATTACCAGATTTATCAGAATCATTATCATGTCTTGCTCTTATACTTACCGATCTGTTTTTTCAGCTATGTACATGGATGGTCAACTAATTGCTAGGAAGGCAAGAGGACTGCTGCATCAGTACAGACAAATGCGAGAAATACCTTGCACTTTATCAGGTTTATGCACCAGATGCGGTCCTGGTATCTGGGACAGCTCACACAGTCCTCGAATCTACTGCGTAGGTCATGAAAAAGAAGGGTACAGCAACGTTTGTGCGTACTGAACGAACTGTTGAATAGATTTGTCAAAGAAATCAATCACTATATTTCTTTGTTTCTTGAGTTACAGTGTGTCACTTAAGAGCGGTCAGAAAGGATAATTCATGGACTTACTCAACTTCTACTAAATTATTGAACTCGCTAAGAACCATATTGTGTGATGCCTGTATAGATCATTATCAATAATGAGTTTTATACCGTTCAATCATTTGTGACTGTACGATAATGCATTGAAAAATTCTTAGCCAGCTGTAGCAGCAAATACAGTTTGGAACATTATATTTTCCTCATGAACACCTCTAGACGTTTTTCTTCGCCATGCAAACCAGCCCTCCATATCTTTCATCATCTTTTCGTTGGGAGAAAATTTACGACCTCTTAGATTTTTTTACACTTGAGGAAAAATTGATAGTTGAATAGAGCTAGATCTTGTGGATGAGGTGGATGCATGTTGCCGTGCACACGAATTGTCTAGGCTAAGTAGATATCAATACATCCTCGTACCACTCACAACAAGAGATAACAGTTTAATGGAATTTGAATGCTATTTAAGGCACACAAGGACAAATATATATAAGGTGTGTTCGTATTTATTTTCAATTTCCAAATTTATATTTTGCTGGCTACTAATTCATAACAACCAATTGAGTTGGTCAAACAGCTCGTTCCAAATCAGACATAATATACTTTCAATGTGTCTTAATTTTTTCAGAATGTTTTATAGGCAATAGCACAACAGACTCCTCGGCAGCTCAAGGGAAATGCTGTAGGGAGTGGCTTCGGCAATTCTTTTTAGATTTACTAACAATGGATGGGAGAAGAAATTATTGTAAATCCATGATTGAACTGAATTTCACAAATTTATGTTATAGAGTTCAAAAATTCAAGTCATTATGACTTGCAGTATTAAGGAAGCGTTCCGAAGTTGACTGTTGCTTTTGTAAAAAAGTTGTTGAGAGATATAATATTCGCATTGTACATTTGTTGGACAAATTGTAAAAACATATAGTATTATAAGTTATTATACAAAAAATCCCCTCAGGGCGTTGGTGTTTTACCTATTAGTTCAAAATTCAATGGAGTTATGTATTTGACAGATTTAATATTTCGCTTTGAATAAGAAAACACATTTCTTAGTGTTCCTTGTCTCGGAACTTTGGAACCAAAATTAGCAGTATTTTCAAAAACCTTGCACTTTTTGAATTAGTTTCATTACAATTAGATGGAATATGACATCTTTTGGTAGAAAATAGTTGTTGAAAAAATTATTTTACTCACCATGATGCGCAAATATACAGGACTATTCAAATTCGAGTCTTTGCTTGGCCATCTTGTACATGGAAAAATACAGAGATTCGGTTGAATTGTGGTGAAATTGCCTATTTAGAGTGTCATCTAATGTTATCAAAAAATATATGGAAAAACCCGAAAAATTCAAAACTATGTTTTTCAGAAGACAGAATCAACATAATTTTCCAATGCCTTTGAAATTAAGAACGACATATCGGATTTTTCATTATTGATTTCTAGAATATGACACTTTTTGAATTAGTTTCATTACAATTAGATGGAATATGACATCTTTTGGTAGAAAATAGTTGTTGAAAAAATTATTTTACTCACCATGATGCGTAAATATACAGGGCTATTCAAATTCGAGTCTTTTCTTGGCCAATCTGTACATGGAAAAAGATAGAGATTCGGTTGAATTGTGGTGAAGTTGCCTATTTTAGAGTGTCATCTAATGTTATCAAAAAATAGGCTCCAGCTATTTTCATTCCGGAGATACGAGTATATGGAAAAATCTGAAAAATTCAAAATTATGTTTTTCAGAAGACAGAATCAACATAATTTTCCAATGCCTTTGAAATTGAGAACGACATATCGAATTTTTCATTATTGATTTCTAGAATATGCAAGTTTCCTTTTCAAGAACTCCGTATAAGTTTCAATTTAGGAAAGATGAAGTGCTCAACTGACTCATACTCATTTATTATTCTTTAATACTGACCGACTTCTGTAGAAAAGAGAGGAGAGGATAGGAGGAAAGGAGGAGAGAAAGGGCGGAAGAGAGGAGGAGATGAAGGGGGGAGAAGATAAGGGGAGACAAAAAGAAGAGGGTGAACAAGGGAAGGAGGTGGGGAAGAGGGGAAGAAAAAGGGTAAGGAAAAGTGAAGAGAGAGGGAGGATAGGAGAAGGGAATGATGGAAGGAGGGAAAGAGAGGAGGAGAGAAGGCTAGAAATGAAGGCAAGCAGGAGAGGTGAACAGAAAAGGAACAGCAAAATAAGGAGAGAGGCTGATAGAAGGGGAGGATGACGGTGAGAGTAGGGGGAAGAGGAGGGGGGATAAGGTGAGGGAGGAGAGGCGAGAAGAGAGGAGAGAAGAGGGGTGAGCCGAAGTTGATAGGAGGAGAGGAGAAGAAGAGAAGAGGGTAGAGGAGGAGAAGAAGAAAGGGAGAAGAGAAAAAGAAAGGCTATGGGATGGCAAAGAGGGGGGAGATGAGTTTTAAAATTTCTTATGGATATCTTGGGAACCTAAAACAGCGAAGTTGATTTTTTTTTGTAGCAATCAATGAGCAACTTTGCCAAAATTTACCATTCACAAGATCCCTGAATAGTCCTGTACCTATTGTAATTTCATCGTACCTAAAATTGTTTTCTCGGTGGGTAATGTATGATCAGCTCAATCCAGTGACTTGGTATTAAAAAAATGCATTGAATATATGTGATTCCTTCCAAAAGGTTTTAATAATCATGTGTCGATCAGTATTGAGTCTAATCAAGCTTATTAAGTTTAAGAAATATATCTCACAATTATTGTGAGAAGAAAATGTTACTATTGAGCGTGAAGATCATTACAAAAACATATCACCCTAAGAATCATTCCACCTGAAAGAATAATGTTATTTCATTGTTATTTATGTTTGAATTTTGAGGAAAGACATATGTTTGTTACGCTGTAAACATCGCTAATAAATGAATTGAAAAATATTTTGTTTTATTCCTTGAAACACCGACGAATACAAGGTAGGAAAATGCAAGTCCGGTTAGAGAAGAGTAATTTTGAAAGATTCGATTTACCCTTCTGTTTTCAAAGATATTCAGGTAGGTTATCTCATCACATGAATAGTGTAGAACTTTGCTGAAAAAGAACTGAATGTAAAATTGATTGAAACTCAATCCTTTCGAATCCCCAACTCAATAAAAATAAATGAAATTCCAACAGTCCAATCACCAAACAATTATTTGGAATTACAAGATTCCAACGCTTCAGAAAAAAATTAATTGAATTTTGAAAAATCAGTGCTAGTATAAAAACCAGTCGCTAGGTTCAGGTACTATGGATTTTCTTGAGGAGAAAGTTTTTTCCGTTCTCTTCTTCAATATTGTCAAATATGAAAAAATAATATTTGAATTCAATTTAATTTAATTTCTCATTTCCAAATCAATCATTCAAATAATGGATTCGGAATTTATTAAATATTGACTTCAATAAAGATTCTCAGTTCGATATTTTATTTCACCCGATAATTGCTTACCACATTCATGGTTACATTAGTAGTTTCTGGAATCAAGTTCCATTTCGAATCATTTTATAATTTTGAATCACCATTGAGAATTGTCGATTTAGCAATCGTCAGAGTAATTATTAATGACGGAAGAATAATTGAAATGTAGTTTTCCAACACATTGAATAGTTTTTGGTGTTCAGTTAAAACTTGCTGTCTTTATAACGTACCTAAGTAATAGTTATTTATGTATCAAGGGAATTAGGAGGGCCTTAATTACCGATGGCAAAGTTTGCGTCCCGAGGGCCTCTGGCCCGAGGGACAGCAAAATGCACCAGAACCGGAAGGTTCTGGTGCAGGTTTGGTGCAGACCCAGGGCAGAGGTATCTACCTACCTAGGAACATATGCGACTGTATTTCAAGCGGAAATTTACGCTATTGAATTGTGTGCGGGGAGATGGGAAGCATCCAACCTCGTACATATCAATGAAAATATTCTCCTACCGAACAACGTCTAAATTGGTAGCAAATTGCCAAAAATGACTCTCCTCGATAGGAAGACCCAACAGATTGCCTCTGGTCTGGATTCCTGGCCATACTGGCCTGAAAGGTAATGAAGCTGCTGACCCTCCTACAGAGGAGGGTGCTGCAAACGGCTTCATCGGACCAGAACCTGTCATTGGCATCGCTTTGGGCTTTGCCAAACAAACCTGGATGGCAAGATTTATGGACTTCTGGCAGAATCTTACAGGTTTGGCTCACCCCAAGGCGTTTATTCACCCTTGGAAGCTTGATACCAAACAGTTGTTGTACCACAGTAGGGATGAACTACGATGTGTAACAGGCCTTCTTAATGGTCACTATCATTTGAATCATCATATGTAGTGAGTTGGACTGTCGGAAGACAGTGAGTATCGCCTCTGTTTGGAAAATGGTGGAACAGCAGATCATATACTTTGTGCCTGCCCCGCTGGGGACTGAATTAGGTTCTTAGAGTTCGGCAGATCCCTACTCTTACCATTTGACCTGGAAGACCACTCACCATACAAACTAATCGGCTTCGTTGAGAAGCTGGGTTTATTTGGCCGAGTGTGAATAGGTGTGAGCCACAATAAACCCTTGCGGATTGCGGTGGAGGGTCAAATAGACCTACTCACTTTAGACCTAACCTAACATAACCTCTTAGTTTTATTTATTCTTCAATAAACTATATTAAAAGCATCAACTACTATATTAATTTAAAGAAATACAACACTTATCCATCAATACTTAATGAGAAAATTTTCGAAACGAAAATTCATCCAAAAACAACAAAAAATAATAAACCAGATTTTCAGAATTCTAATTCAAAACATGTTTCTGAATGGTTGAATACGAGTCGAGCAATTAGTTATAACGTGGCTTTGAGTGACAACATACGGAAAATTACAGAAGAGCAGAATATTTTTCTCCTGGAAATTACGACTTTAAAACTTGAATTTTCAACTTCAATCTCGTAATCACGACTTCAACTTTAATTGTAGATCGAACTCGAATTCAAGATTAAAATTGTAATTTCGAGTGAGGGCAATAATATTTCCCCTAACGATGATGCAATCTATTGAATCAACAAAATCCTCGAAAATCAAACATAAACGAGGCTCCCAATGCGGTTAGTTGCAAAGTCAAGCTTCGACAAGACAGCACTAGACAAGACTATACTAGACTTGACAAGACTAGACGAGACAATACTAGACTAGATGAGACTAAACTGGACAATATTAGACTAGACAATACAAGACAAGAGAAGGGAATGAGAGCTGTAAAAAACGATAATTTATCAAACGAGAGGAGAGGAGATGAGAAGACAAGACAAAAATAAATAAGAGATGACCAGACTAGACAAGAATATACTACACAATACTAGACAAGATTAGAATGGACAAGACACAAGAGGAAAATGAGGGCCGTAATGAAAATTAGACCAGACAAGACAAGACTAGACTAGACTAATCAAGTTGATCAAGATTAGTCGAGTCGAGCCGACTTGAGGCGAGCCGAGTTGAATCGCGGCGAGCCGCACTGAGGCGACTCAAGCCGAGTCGAGCCAATTAGAATGGAGCCAAGCCAAGTCGAATTAAGCCCAGTTGATCCGAGCTGAGTCTAACCAAGTCGAGTCAAGCCAGGCCGAGCCGAGTGAAGCCGAGCCAAGTCGAGTCAAGCTGAGCCGTGCTGAGACGAGTCGATCCGCGGCGACGCGAGTTGATTCAAACCCAGCCAAGCCGAGGAGAGCTGAGCCGAGTTGAAATATTTGACTAGCCATCAATACAATTAAGTTTACTCGATGCAAATAGAGTCGAGCAGAGCCGAGCTGAGCCAAGTCGAGCCGAGTTGTACCGACACGAAATACTTGATTGAATGTTTCTATTTTCCCATATTCACAATATTGATTATCTATACAATTGTGTTTATATAAAGTTTTTTCCGTGGAGCAGTGTCCTGTCGAGGCGAGTCAAGCCGAGACGAAATATTTGATTAAATGTTTCTATCTTCCCACATTCACAATATTGATTATCTACACAGTTGAGTTCATATAAATGTTCTTTGGTGGAGCAGTGTCCTTTCGAGTCGAGCCCAGCCGAGTCGGGTCGAGCCGAGTCGGGTCGAGCATAATTGGGTGGAGATTTTGAATTCAAAGTCAAAATTTCGAGATAAAAATTGGAACTTCCAAGAAACAAATGATAAAAATAAGCGTCTCTTCTGCGTTTCTATTTCAGAAATGAAATGAAGAAATTCTTGACCAATGGAAGTAAAAAAACAACCTCCACTACATTAATGAAAATCAAAATAGAATTTTAATGTCATAAAGCGATGAGACAATTTCAAAAAAGATTAATTCATGAAATGATTGGAATTAAAAAAATTAAAATATATTGAGCAAACACCCCATATTGAAAATCTATGTTTGTTTTAATTTCACTATAGAAAAAAGTATTCAACAAACACTTTATTGTGAGATTTTCACTGAACAAATTACAAAACCGAGCCTTTTACACGTATGGACGTGGCTTACAATTGATAGTTTAAGCGAATTCATTAAAAACAATAAAGACAAAACTTCAGTGGCGAATATTTCATCAGGAGTATATAAATTGACTTGTGGTTCTTGCCAAAAACTTGTTGGTCAAACAAGAAGAACCTTTCTCCAAAGAATAAAAGAACACAAGAGTTGTTTCTTGAACGTGAAGACCAGTTCCATATTCGCAAACCATCTTCTGCGTTTAATCACGACTATAACATTTGGAATGCTTTCCGTTTATTAGATCGTTTTTCTCAAGTGAAAATTGGTGAACTTGGGTTATTCTCATTTATTACAATTTTATTCAAATGTGTGTAAATTTTCTTCCCCAACATTTGAACTTGTAATCAGTTCGTACCTGAAATAAAAATTATCAGACATTGAGTAGGTAGAAGGATATGTGATTCAAATTGTTGATTTATATGAAGCATTAATCAAGTAGAATTCAGTTGATATAAACAATGATGCACTGTTTGGAACCTTTGGTGTAGTAATGAATATTACTGGAGTTCTTTTCCCAACACCAAATCGTTATTTTCAACACCTCGACACATCCTCTTTGAAGATGATCACCAAGTGATCATCTTCAAAGAGGAATATTAATCTTCCTCTTCAAAGAGGAATATTAATCTTCCTCTTCAAAGAGGAAGAATAATCTTCCTCCTCTTCGATCACTTGGTGATCGAAACACGTGTCGAGGTGTTAAAAATAACGATTTGGTGTTGGGAAAAGAACTCCAGTAATATTTATATAAACAAGCCTGATTGGATAATTGCTGTATTACTTAAAATCGCTTCGTAAATAAGCTATTATTTCTCGTAAAATGTAAAGGATAAAAAATGGTTATTCCTAAGGATAGACATATACCATCGCGGACTTTTATGTAGACCCTTTTAAGGTGTACAATACTGTAGTACATTATTTTGATCCAAAGTTTGCAACTGAATCCTTTTTTGCAACTAATCACTTACGAAAACACAGTTTATATGGCCATGGAAGTCCATATAAATGAATCCCTTTATTTCAGAAACGGAGTAATGAACGACTGAAAAAAATATTCATATAACATCATCATCAGTAGTAGTGGTCAAAGCTGTGGTTTCTTTGAACAACTCTTATCACGGAGATAAAACGCGTATTATGCATCGGAACCGACAATTTTTCATTATCAAGACAGCCAGTTCATTCCAAACTTTGTCGTGACTGAAATTCCTTGCTCTGTTTGCAGACTTGTTGATTCAGCCCACGATAACGTATTGATTTTCCAAAAGGGAAAATGCGCATTGGGAAATCAGGCAACCGATAACTGTCAGTCTACAATATGCTTTTGTCGTAAACACAGCAAACAAGAACCGGAAATGGAGGATTTACTATTGAATATCGTGAAGGAAGCCACAGGCTCCAAACTGACGAACTTGAAACAAAGGGCACAAGAAGCACATGGTGAGGAGTTGATTCATTACAAGTATGCACCTTCACTGAGTTTTTTACAGATTTGCTGGCAGCACAAAATAATCTGATGAGGAATTCTTCGCACGAACTGAGGTCTATTTGTTTTGTACCTCTTAAAATATCTCTGGAGAGCAAGCGAAGCAAACTGGTTTCCTTAGCTTTGACTGGGCTGAATGTAAGTGGTTTTTATATTATTATTAGAGCTGCGGATCGATTATGATGCATATCATGACAACTAAAAATGAACCAACCATTAGGCCCAACATGAGACATGCATTTCAGTGAACATCATCAAATTTGGAAACAATTCATTGTACAGAGTAATCGTTGCCAGCTGGGGCGGAAATAGCGAAAGTTGGTCTAGTTTACAGTCACGTTCATTGGTGGATATCAAATTTGGAATAGACTCATAATGATGAGTCATTAATGAATTAAGATTTTCGTCTCAACTTTTTTTCTGTACTGGTATAGTATGGGGTTTATCTTTAATTCAAAGACTAATAATGGGAAATGTTCATCCTGACGAAAATCAAACATTTTTCTTAAAAAAAATATTTAAATAGTCAAAAAAGAGGAATGAAATAATGCATACAACATTTAAAGGGATTCGTTTCTATTTCACCATTTGGCAACATCGATTATAGCTAATAAAGGACGATGAATCTGTTTCCTGTATGAGACAAACAAAGATGACATATTTCAGAGGCGAGCTGTTCTGTTTACTTATGTTCCGAGTTCCGAGACATTCTGTGACATATGACATTTTGTGCACCTAACCTATCTTCCTCTNTTATCAAAATCCACATTCGAAGACTTCTGAGGGTTGTCGTTCTTAGGGGTGCGACAGCTGGTTAACGGAAAAACAGATTTTAAACAGATTTATACCATTTTTAACGGGCGCACTAGACTCCACAAAGATGACGAGTTCCATATTTTTGATTTCTCTTCTAGATAGGCTAAGAAGATGGTTTCGCTGAAATTTCCTTCCATGTTTTCAAGTCTACACCAGCTAAAAAAATTAGAATATGCGATGTTGTACTGTTGAGCCGATTTTTTGATAATAATTCAATTGAAGCTCTTTTTACAGCCTCTTCAATATCGCCAGGAATACACAATTCCTCACTATTATTGTTCATTATGCAAGACATTAAACACCAGCAAGAACTTTGAATGTGACTTTAAATAAAACGCGTGAGCTGTAAACAATACTGTTGATTCGGCGTCCCCTGACACGGCCACTTCACAGCAAATGCGATGACATGGAAATAGTTAACTGACAAGAGATGTCAAAATGTGTTTTTATAGAAATAATCAATGTATCTATTTATTATGACAACAGGACAGTTGTACAAAAAACTTTGTAATATATTTCCGTTCAAAGAAAGTTTTATTTTGTTTGTGAAATTGCTTAACTCGCTACGCTCGTTTCACAAACTATTTCACCCACAAAATAAAACCTCACTTTTAACAGTCATATCATAAATAGCTATTATAACTGTCAATCAGAATTCCTCGCTCCGATCCAAAACGCTCTTCAACCTCAATTCTTTTGTAGAAAATAATACGCGATGAAAGATTTCAATCAGGCACAGAACCAGAAGACGATTCCCTATGGCTTCCAGCTCAGCTACTACTTGCAACTTCGTCTATGCTGTCGCAATGCGAAGACACTCAGGTCCAAATTTTGAGGGTGGTTTTGAATTTGGCCTGCTTAGCCAGCTGGGCTCTCAACGGAAGATTAGTCATGTTGATGTTGAGTAGATGCGGAGAAGCATACGAATCTGGAACGCAACCAGTCAGAGCGGCTGCTCAAGCGGCAGCGAGTCAGACATTGACTGCATTTTGCACTTTTCTTGGTAAGTAGACTATACGGATATGATGAGCATGACGGATATTTTGAAATTCTGTTTCTAAAGTCAACTAGCTCAAATTCAGGTGGTTTTTCATCTCTGAAGATGACAACCATTCGCAAAAGCGAAACGTCGAACAACAGTTAACAGTCTTGGATAACGGCAAATATGGAATTGCAGTCCGTTCAGGCTGTAATATTTATTGTGAGTTAGTTGACGTCAGTTTGAATCAAAAATATTTATCCATTTCTATTTTTGATCCAAACACTTGGAGTGTGGCATGAACAATACCACCCCAATGCATTTTTCGAGCATTTGGACTGAGTTATTCTATTGTGAGTGAGTTGACGTCAGTTCGAATCGAAAATCTTTATCCATTTCTATTTTTGAACTGAACATTTGGAGGGTGGCATGTGTAATCCCACTCCAATATATTTCTTTGAGCATTTGGACTGGACTATTTCATTGTAAAATAGTTGACGTCAGTTTGAATCAACATTTTTTATCCATTTCCATTTTTTATTTAAACAATTGGAAGGTGGCATATACAATGCCACTCCAATGCATTTCTTTGAGCATTCAGACTATAATATTTTATTGTAACTCAGTTTGAATAAAAAATCTTAATCAATTTCCATGTTCGATCTGAACAATTAGAGGGTGGCATGTACAATGCCACTCCAATGCATTTCTTTGAGCATTCGGACTGGATTACTCCATTGTAAGTCAGTTGACGTCAGTTTGAATCGAAAATTTCTATCCATTTATATTTTTATAAATAATTCATTGAGAAAAAAAAAAGATTTAATAATGTGCTTTAATTATTGTGTAAAATATAGGAATGGTGCTTAAAAACACTTGGAATGTTGACAGTGGCATACGGTGATTGTACTCTGAATCAGAAAAGTGGTACACACTTTTCACAGAAGCTTGAAAAGATGTGAATGACGACGCTGGCTCTGGACGCCACAGTACATCAACAACTGAAGGAAATGTTCAGTAAGTGAAGAAAATTCGTATGAAGAATCGTCGAAGCACTATTAGAGAAGTTGCTGAGGATGTCATGCCATGCTATATTTTCGAAAATTTTGGGCATGAAGCACGTGACAGCAAAGTTCGTCTCAATATTGCTGTATTCTGACAAAAAAACCGTCAAGATTCACTCAAAAGGGTCATAACTAGTGACCAATCAGGGGTATATAGGGTGTTTCAAATTCGATCCTCACCATTGGGATCTCCGAAACTATGAGAGATACGAAGTTGGTTGAATTGAGGAAAAGTTGCGCATTTACCTGACTAATAATATGCCGTTGAGAAATTTCTGAAAATCCGAGTATATCCGAAAAAAAAAACAGAGATTTCGGAAAATGGTTTTTATTTTTTTCTTACTGTATTTCTCGAAGGATTCGAAAATAAATTGCACTTTTTCTTTGCTACATAATGGTGTTTTCAGATTTGCTATCCGACGTTTCGTCTCCCGGCCACCATCATCAACTTTATTTTTTCTTATGGGCGCTACATTGGATTCTTTTTGTTATGAATAGAACCAGATTTCACCTTTTCAATGATCAGTGTTTTTCGAAAAATTGGAGATATTTAAAAAAAATCAATTCTTATCATATTAGGCTTTGACTTTGATGTTTATAAATCTGACTTTCAATTTGTTATACCCAAAGACATTTTGTTATTGTACAAGTCATTGCATTTTTGGTGAAAAATGTCTTTAACGAATGAAGAAAAAAGAGATATGATACAAATTTATTACAAATACGATAGAAACAGTGTTAGAAAATCGAAAATGTATTTACACTTATATCCCTAAAGCCGACAACCACATCGAACTATGTTCAAGTTTTTGGAGCAAAATCTCATAGTTTGGTTCATTTGAAGAGCCGAGGAAAAAATACGGAGACAGAATGGACCAGGAAACTAAAGAAAATTTGATAAATGAGGTAAGTTAGACAGTCCTTTATAATAAAAATTGATAATTTGCAGATAAACATAATCATGGAGAAAATTACACGTCAAATTTCCTCCGAAAAGAATATTTGTCTTACAAGTGCTTGGAGACATCTCAAAAATGCGGTATAAAATGTTAGAAAATACACATATCTCAAAAATTGCATTCAGGTGATCCCAAAAGGCGATTAGAATTTTGTAATTGGCTGATAAGAAGACCTGATTTTTCTGTTTTCCTGGAAAATGTAATTGGGACAGATGAAATCACTTTTACGAATTGTGGGATATTCAACCGAAATAACGAACACATTTGGAGCATAATAAACCCCTGGCAGTTTCGCGAAATTCGACCTAAACTGCGATTTAGTATTAACGTGTTAGCAGAAATTTACAAAATTTGAAGGAATTCTGAATGGAGAAACCCTATCACTAGTTGTTAATGTCGATTTTCGAAGAGTATTTGGATGATCCACCTTTGGCTCACTATAACAACATCTGGTTTCAACATGATGGTGCTCCACCGCACACTACCAGACGAGTTTCTAATTAAGTTAATGGAAGGTTTGGTGAAAAATGGATAAGGAATAATGGGACGGTGGCCAGCAAGGTCTCCAGACTTAAGTGTTATGGATGGATTCTCATGGGGTACACTGAAGAATTGAGTTTATGGTCAGAGGGACTATCAAAATATTGAGGACCTTCAACACAGCATTGTTAGAGAGTTCGGAAGATTGAGGAAGAGGGAAATTAATCGTGCAGTGAATAATATTCGAAGAAGGGCACCGTTGTGTTATCATGAACAAGGCCAGCATTTTGAGAATTTGCGAGTCTTATAACGTGGAAATATTTGACCCAATATTATCAGACCATTATGCCCAGTTACTTTCTGTTTGTTTTGAAATCAATCAAAACATCGAGAACACAAATATCAATAAAGTATATAAGCGTGATATACGAGAACATAATATGCAAGAATTTAATGATCGTCTAATGAATATAAATTGGGAATTCCGCAAGCTTTCTTTCATTGTGGCCCAAACCATTTCAATTGGATTGAACACACAATAGTATGGAGGCAAACGTAAGAGGATATGACCACGTGTTTCACACATCGAATCAATAATATACTGTTTTTTGAAATTATGTTGCTTTGTCGCCAGTAATACCTTTTTCGTTGGAATCTTTTCAGGTATTTCCATGTCATGATTTCGCATGAAATCAACAATATCTCCTTTCTTTTTTGTGTTATTGTTTGGTCTTTTAGTCAATAACCGAGAATGACGCTGTTGGCTTCGGAAATAATTTATTTTTTGTAAATACTTGATCCTCAATGCTCTAGTGTCCATTTTCTCTTTAAAATTCCTCCAAGAGATGTTTCGGATGCCACAATTTCCAAAACGTCATTAATTTTGTGTTGGAACTTCCTTACCGTAATACGGAACCCTCCCGTCTTATGAAAGTCGTAAATAATCCATCGAATATTGGAAAACGTATACCCGGAAATATCAGTTACTTGTGCTCTTCTAGGCCACTTCTTTCCTGTGGTGGAAAATTTTACTCCTCTGTTATTGGCAGAAATTAATTGCTCTCCACTCTTTCAATGGTCAATTATTTAACGTGCCTGACTCTTGATGACTAGTTTGGTAAAGGGCGGCTATGAGTTTGTATAGTTCCTTGGGTATGTTGTTGTTGTCAGTGAGTGCTATAGATCGGTGTATAACATAATTCAAAACGGAATTCAGCTGAGCTGAGATAACTCTATATCAACTTGGATGTCCACAAATAAATTCACACTACAATCAACAAACAAGATTCGTCACTAATTCATCCATAAATCTATGTAGTATTTTATATCGTGGTCCAAAATGATTCAATCTTCTACTAGTTAGCATGTTTCCAATTTCAATAAATTCAAAAAATCGATCAGGACATTCATTATGTTCAATACTGAACATCACGATGTTCAGCAAATTCTTCATCATTTCCAATATTCATTCAAAATCCATAGGCATCTCTCTAAGAGCACCTTAAGAATTTTCCTTTAGTGCATTAATCTTCATAGTAAGGGTAATGAAACTGTAGGTAAACTGTAAATGATATTTGAAATAAATATGCCTACTACTACTACTACTATTACATCTGACACGACACATAATCTAAATAGCGACGTTAAGAAACCATTATTTCACTTGAGTGGCAATACACCGTATTGAAATTTTCCACTTGTATAGTATTACACCAAATCTGAACTATCCGTTTCATGCCCAGTTTGAATACCTTTCGATTGATTTTTTGCAGCATTGGTATCCAGGTGGTGCGTCTTGTTGGAAGAGAAAGACCTCTGAGACCAGTATTAGAGGCTTTGTTCCATAGAATGTTGCTATTACCCAACCCTCAAAAAAGACTAGAACCCTTGAGGGCTGCAAGAGAGCTTCTGAGATCTCCAGGACGACTGGCAGATCTTCTATTACTGAGTGGACCAATTCAAAGACACGCAGGTGACGATATGGCAATTATAAGACTGTGAGTACATATGTCCAACCGTTCTATGTATGTGCATGTTATTCCATAAAAAAGTGTATCAGGCAAGAGGCCGAAACTGTGAAAAAGCCAATCGTGAAAGATTTATTAGGATCTCTGAGGATCTTTGAAGAGAAGCCTCATGTCTCCTAACTTTTGAACAGGTCTAGATATCAATGTTGATGAAAAAGAAGGTGAGACGAAACGTACTGTTGAAAGTATGCTATTCACTTTTTTATACAAAAAAAAAGAAAGTTCTTGTGTCATCTCGTTTTTTTGGAAATCCATCAAGAAGTCACAGCACCTCTGAGCCGAAGAAATATCTAGTGGTAATTTTTGAGTTCAGCATTCATTGAGGCGATTGTTTCATGGTTAGTTTCTACAGTTGAGCCATATTGCAGTTGCCTATCATAATTATAAGGTGGACTTGATGGAGCGATATACTCTAATGGAACTTCAAAATATACACAAAGAGTAATAAAAGCCCCAATATTGATCCTTGCAGTACCGTTAGAGTAACAGGCAAAGGGTTTGATACTCTGTCGCCCAATCTGGGTTCCATTAGTTGGGTAGTTTTTGAGAAGTGTCACTATTTTTATTCGGGTTTGGAAGCCGTCGATTTTTGTAATTTCTTGCTGACGTTTCGCTGGCGCAAGTGGCTAGCCTCTTCAGAGGTTCATACATCTTGAGTTCATCGCCGAGGACTGGATATTACGGCTGCGTAAAGCGTTTTATGTTGACTCAGATAGTTTGATGTGCTACTACTTGTACCTGAATCGTCAATGACATTCGTTAAGTGTAGAATAACATTCGTGAGTATAGGCCCACAACACACATATGACCCATTGTACATCCTCCCGAGGAGTTGTCCTCCTAGGTCATCGTCCATCCTGTCCTTTCCTGGAAGGCGGACAGGTCACTAGGAGATATCTCCTTTATATCGGAAGGTGTAGGCCAAGACTCGCCAAACACACACTCTCTTTGTCAACCTTAAGGTGCCTCACGGTGGCAAAGGTTTTGGAAGGTGCAGCGACATTACTGTCGTTGCGCGGCTTCTTCAATCTTCTTGGAGTTCCCTTCGTGGAGGTGCACAAGTGAGGGAGCTTTCCTGCAGGAGCAGCCGAGCCGGTTCTTAGCCTTTATTCAAGGCGTAGCTCTTGGCTACGCCTTGAATAAAGAAGTTCAAGAATAACAAACAACATGACATAAAATCACGCCTTACACAGTCGCAATACCCCGTCATCGGAGATAAACTCAAGATGTACGAACTTCTGGAGAAGCCAGCCAATCGCTCCAGCGAAGTCAGGAAGAAATTCAAAAAATCGAGGGCTTTTAATCTCGAATGAAAATAGTGACACTGAAAACCTTCGCCGCGAAAGCCTCAACCATTTTGTCAGTTTTTGAGCAGATTCGCTGAAATGGAAGGCCGTGTTCTTGTCTGATGTTGCCAATGATGGTTTCTATTTCTTCATGCTGGTTACACAGCTAATATTCCAAACGAAGACCTACAATTTGAACGGTAACCTGTGACCTTTACTTTTCAGTATTTCCTAACAACTGAATTTTCTGGGAAGTGCTACATTTTCTTTATTTTCCAGGATAATGGACTCAATAGAAGAATGTTCGCAGTGTAATGATACCGGTGTCTTACTAGCTAGTGTAGAATGCGTAGCTGCCCTTTTGGGCTCCCTAGAATCCCTTTGTAGAGGGGAAGGCCTGAACCAAGAAGCAGCAGATTTGACCAATACGCGATATACATCTTTGGAGCAGGTGGATTATTCTGGACCACTTACATATCAGTCGCTAGCTAGATTACCAAAACCTTACAGGTGATAAAAACTTCGTGATTGAGCTTCAATTTTGATTTCATTCACAAAAATTTACTGACATTTACTACTACTACTACATTAACTACATTTTCACTGACATATACTACATTGAAATAAATTCCTTCAAGTGGATTCAAATTTATTGAAATGATTATTAGTGAATGTAGTGTACTATTATTGTTATAAATACTGAAAACGTAAGAAACCTATTTATAAAAACCTTATTCATCAACCTGTATTATATTTATGTATTTTTACAGAGATGTTGTGGCGAACCTGAAATACCAAAGCGATTCAGATAGCAGCGGCATAGAAGGAAACATCCCCGAAGTAGAAGGAGGAACGGAATCTGATTGCTCCGGGGCTACTGAAGGCCCTGAAGATGGTACATTATCGGACGACAGTATTGTTGATGATGATACCTTCTTAACGAATCAACAGTTACAGAAATTGTACAAATTACCAAAATCCTTGAATTTGGTAAGTTCAATGAAATCATTGAAATGATGAAGTGACCAGTTTGCTGTTATTAATGATTGATTTCTATTATCGTCATTAATATCTTCCTCATTCAAATAACCACCACCCAGAATTTGATCTGGTCCGAAAACCTAAGATTCCTTAGACACATATTCTACATCTAATAGCAGAGCCCAAACACAACACATTTACGATTCAATACCAGACCTCTCATAGGTTTCATCAGTTTCTGCTAGGTTGAACCACAAATGCATTCCATCGTTCTCCACCCCCTGAGGTTGAGTGCCCTGAGATAGAATCTTCCCCACAATGTTTCTGTCTGCAGTAAAATCTCCAGCTCGTCCACCCCAGCTCACTTCCGAGTGATCCTCAACCTGTTGCTTGGCACTTCAGCAAGATTGAAATATGACCTCTTATGGTCCGAAGTCAGCCTCTACTCTAGTGCTTTCACTCCCTTATCTGACTATTTGTAAATCCTGACATTACAGTGTGTAGTGTACCTTGTACCTAAATGGAGACGGGTGTTGTGTATGTATTTACCGCAGTAAAGGCGCACAGGATGATGGGGAGTAGAATAGGAGCAGATTTACTTACAGATCCATTTTATCCCTGCGTCAGATGATTGGGTGTGCGCATGGTGGTCCCTTGTACCTAACTGAAGACGGCTATTGTGTATTAACCGAAGCCGCCGGACGGCAATGCTTCGAGGTGATCTTGCTTTGTAGGTCTCATGTGCTTGTTCCTCTTGCGGAAGCTGGGGTTGTCCCTGTTCAGTGTGTCGTGAAGATCACGAAACGCTGGGTTGGGTTGTGCCCGGCCACGGTCGAAGATGTTTTCGGCGTGGTGTCGGATGGGTGCATTCACCTACTGGGTGCTAAGAGCCAGGTCTCGATAGATGGATCGGTTGGGTATGTACGGCCGCCTGAAAGCAGGTGTTCGTAAACGTTTGAATTTGGTGTCTGTATGTTTTTGTGCTCTGGCTCCAGGCAGTGAAGACATACAGGAAGATGTGGAGTAGGATGGGAGCAGTTTCACTTGGAGATCCATGTTACCCCTGCGTCAGATGATGGGGTAGAAGTTGTGTATTGCTTTCGGCAGTTCTAACATCCGTTGGGTATGTCAAGGGTGACATGATTATCCCTCCTGTCCGTTGAAGACGGCGCGACGTGTCATTCCGGCTGTAACTTTCTCCAGGTGAATAGTATCTTCTGACTCTTGTCAGGGTGTATGCCCTCTCCTCCAGTCTGTCCGCTTGTTGTTGTAGTTATCCTCTAACTAACGTGTGGTTAGTAGATTTCACCAATAGAACTGTGTCGTCCTCGTAGAATGCCAACTTGTTGAAGTTGTTCTCTGGCTTAGGCACGTCTGCTGTGTACACCGAGAAGAGGTGTGTGGATAGAATTGCGCCTTGTAGTACACCTGTTTCCAGAAGTCGCCTACTGGAGAGTTCTTGTGCTATTCTGACGTAACAGTTTCAGTTAATATGCCAAGAAGAGTACTTTAACCAGGCCACTGAAGATGACTGCCGCAGTTTCAGTTGAAACGTTTGGAGATTGTAACCAAAGAAGCTCACGGCAAAACCAGAAAACCATCCGAAGCTAGTTATGAAAGCGTACATTCCTATAATGTTTATATGTCCCAATGGGCACTTATTTGCTCGTCTGATCTATGTGATCCGTGGACCAATTGAAAAAAGTTCTTTGAGCGTACATCTGAAGTGGCATATTTGATGATTTGTTCTGAATATAAGAAATAATGGAACTCTATAATCTTTTTAGGGCCGTACAGGAGTTGACGAATGCAATACCGATGTAGAGAGACACAACGCTAGGCATTTCGTGAAGACCCTCCAACATGTGTTGCTGCCGAATTTAATGTCACTCAGATCTTCTATACAGGTAATGTAGGAGTGATTTTCATTTCGTAGGTATTTCATGAAAATATTACAGGTAGATGAGATGTTGCAAGAATTTGCTTCAAAGTGTTGCCAACACAACTCCGCACAAAACTACGAAATCTCCACCATAATGAACGCTGATGGTGTATACTTAGCAACTTATTCTGCGTTACTGTTGGATCTGAGGCTCATTCAGGCTGGGCAGTATGAAGAAAGCGATGTCCAGGTAAACATAAATCATTTTATGAGGAGACAGATCCTTCAAATAATATTTCACGTCAAAGGTTTGAACAAGTATGTTCTGAGTTCTCACCAACATTTTAAGTTTTCTGGGGTTGATTTCAGAATTCACAATATTTGTTTCTTCATGCCTATAGGTACCTGTTCCCATTACTGAGAACCAGTTCGTGGAAGAAATTCATGGAAGTGGTGTTCTGGTGTACGTCTCGGCTACATGGTTATGCGAGCTTTACCAAAATGTCCTGGCTAAATCCCTGCTATTAACCGCTGGTTACGACCCGAAAGGTAGTCACCAACCGTCTTTGATAAATTTGCTCACAGGTAAGTAAACAAATGATCAATCTATCCATTCCCTGTTCACTATAAACTTGCTCAGACTCGGCAGTAACATCTATGTCGAATTTTTTCCAGACGTTGGTGGTCTCTGCCCTACACAGCTCTTATCGGATTGGCAAAAGCTCCAAAAGGTCCATGGAACACCAGAAACCAGTCCTGAGGCTGAAGCAGGAATTAAATTGTCTAGAAGGGTATTGACTTGCTGTTGGAACTCCGTGGTTTCGGTACTTGGGATGCCTCTTGGTGAAAAACCATATTCAAATGGAACGTCAGCATTAAGCAGGCTAGTAGCGAGAAGGGCCAGACAGAAGTATCGTCAGAAATTGAGAGACGATATCATCACAGCTAGTCTCGAAGGCCTGCATAAAGTAAACGAATCATCTTACGTTTGAAACCGCCAGGTTGTGACTGAGTTTTTTTCAGGCAGCTAGTTTGAGCAACACTCTTAAATTACAGTCACGGAGTAGTAGTATTCTGGCGCTACTGTCTGCGTCCTCTTGTAAAAACCAAGGATCGAAACTTCTGGCATCTCATGCATTGTCTCTGGATGTACTCTTATCAAAAGGTAGGTTTCTTATGTAGTTGCGTAAATTTGCGTTTCAGTTCATAATTATATTAAATTGTTTCAAACGTTTTGTCCGTTTCAATGTCATGCGTTTTTGATATATACTGATCGGTAGGAAATTTTGTATTTTGTACATTGATGCGAATTCAACCTGAGCCAAAGCGCTGCCAACAGAGCCCAGAAAAATCAACCAGGCAATTGGCAATAATAGTGTTAATAAACGCACTGTTCGACGTTGGTCGATCCGGAGATTTTAGCCTCGCAGATGAGATCCGAAGTAGTTGACCTACAGTATTTCAGGACGTGAATTTGAGGACTGGTGGATACGGACCCATCAAGAACGATGCGTGAGATGACGGAAGAACTAAGCGTCAGCTTCCCTGCGGTTTTTGATGGTTTGGCCAACCAAAACTTTCCTATTCTGGATGAGATCGTCACATGTGATGGATCCTCTACAACAGAAGACGTTCAGGACAGTGGTTGGACAGAGATAAGCCACCCAGGCACTTCTCAAAGGCGGGTCAGCGGTTGGTGTAATTCACTATAACTTTCTGCAACCGGACCAAACCATCACAGCGTCAGTAGTGCCTGCAATGGTCAACAGAAGGGGTCCAATCCTACTCCACGAGAACGCCCGTCCCCATGTTTCACAAATCACCGTCCGAAACTTATACGAATTGAAGGTCGAAGTTCTGCCTCAATCACCATACTCTCCAGACGTCTGGCCAGCCGACTACAATGTTTTCTTGCACTTCGATAACTGTCTGGCCGGTTTACTAATTAGGATCAGGCAAAAACCGCCTTCGTCTACTTTATCGAATCCCGAGCAACCAATTTTCATGCTGACGGAATCAAACGACTGGTGTTGAGTTGGCAAAAGTGCATTGATTCAAAAGGTGTTCATTTGGATTGAATTGAATGAGTATTCACTGAGATATTACAGTAGACCATTGAAACTGACATATTTTTCAAAATAACCTCGTATCACATAATAATACTCAAATTTGAATGAGTGGACTGGTATTCTCCTTTAAAGTTTGCAGTTTCACTCGATATGTATGATTCAATAGAGTGGACTGTATTATAGTGAAGCTGGTAATTTATTGAATTTGTGTTGGTTTTTTGAATGGAACACAGAGACGAATTAATTAGCTTTTTTTCAATTCTATACAATCATTTGCTGTCGTCCAAGTTTTCATTCATATGATCGAGTTGGTGGGGTGTGGAAATTACAAACTGTAATCAGAAACAAGATTTTTTTTAAATCCTACACATTTTTGTTCTCCATTCAAAAAAAATTGGTACCTATGCCTGGGATTGCATTAACTAACCGTTTGAATGTTTACAAACGCTGTCATCGTGATTACTACAGAGTTGCCTCTTCCGATGACATACAGTCGTTTTTTATGGAAAGAAGAAGTGCTTGTCTTGTAATGTTATCTAAAACGGTGTTGATGAGGTGATAAGACTAGTGTCCTGTTCCGAAACTTCGAAGTACACTATGGAGGATGATAGTGTTCCACATAAGTGAAATTTTACCTCTTTCATATACTATATTTTGTAACAATCCTGTGAATGATATCTGATCCAATTCCATAATGAATGTTTGGACTTTAAACTGACTAAGAGAATGATTTTATAAAAGTAGCTGTCTCTTTCATTCCTGTGAGAGTAATGTTCATGTGAGAGACATTGTTTCGTTATTTTTTTTCAACTTGTATCTGAGAAACTTCTGTGTAAGATCTGAATATATTTAGAAAGAGTTTTTAATGCAGTTTTGGAAGTTCTTCGCATTTTTTTATATCGGAAGAGTAGAAAGCCACAAAGTTGTTTTTCTAAAATTCAGTAAACTAGATGAGAATCATCTTAAATTTATGATCTTGGTCTATAAAGTGAGTTATTTTTCCTAAATACTTCGCTAACCTGACCAAAGAAATTTTCCGACACCGAAAACACGTAAGTTTCGGAAACCAAGTTGGGATCATCAGGAGATGATAAAGTCTGAGATTATAATTCTTTACTAACATTACGTTCATATGTCAAGTTGGCGGGAATTCGGTCGAAATGTTAAAGAAAACCATTTGGAAAATTGTCGACGTTTCGAAACTTTATTGTTTCTTCTTCAGGACTCTGAAGTATAAGAGCAAGATATATATATTAAAATGGGATTCTACAATGTAGTTTACTTGAAAACAAAATATATTATGTGAAATAATAAAACGCTTCGCGAACACTTTACAGAAAACAACGTTGATGAGTACTTACATTTAGGGCGGTTTTTCGAGTTCAAAAAAGGGTGAAGTAAATAAATTTGCTTTGACTGGAAATACATACACAGGTTCACGAAAAGTGTTGACACAGACACGAAGAAATTAATAAACTGAACTTTCGGTGAATCGTTTATAATGCAGAAAGGCCCATTAAAGAAATGAGAATTGTAATTGGAAAATGTCGTCTGTTAATATTCAGAATTATTGTTTGATTTTTTCTATTAGATTGAAATATGATGTGTGTAAATTTTCAATATCTGATCTTTTGTTAACACATTTTGTTCCATGCCTTGTTATTTCCATCATTTCATTCAAGAGTATTTTTTTCAAAATCATCTGTTTTCCTATAATACTGACTGAATTGAAATGAAAAGTATCAAAAGTAGCCTCACAATGTTCTGTGAGGCTACTGGAATTTTTGATTGTTTTCAGTGGGTTGTATATCCATTTATGTTTTTATAAATAATTCATTGTCAGTTGAATGACGTTGGTTTGAATAAAAAAATCGTCATTCTCTATAGGATTTCATTGTGAGTTAGTTGACGTCAGTTTGAATCAAAAATATTTATCCAATTCCATTTTTGAATTAAAAGTTTGGAGATTGACATATACAATACCCTTCCAATGCATTTCTTTGGGAATTTGGACTGAAATATTTCATTTTATTCAGTTGACTTCAGTTTGGATCAAAAATCTCTATTCATTTCCATTTTTGAACTGAACATTTGGAGAGTGGCATAAACAATGCCACCCCAATGCATTTATTCGAGCATTCGGACTGAAATACTTTATTGTGAGTCAATTGACGTCCAGTTTGAATGAAAAATCTTCATCCGTTTCCATTTTTGAACTGAACATTGGAGGGTGGCATGTACAATGCCACTCCAATGCATTTCTTTGAGCATTTGGACTATACTTTGCCATTGTCGATTAGTTGACATTAGTTTGAATCAAAAATCTTTATCTATTTCCATTTATGATCTGAACGATTGGAGGGTGGCATGTATAATGCCACCCCAATACCTTTTTCGAACATTCAGACTGAATTATTTCATTGTATGTTAGTTTGAATCGAAAATCTTTATCCTTCTCTATTTTTGAACTGCCCAAATGTATTTCTTTGAGGTTTTGGGCTTAAATATATCATTATGAGTTAGTTGACGTTTTTTTTTCAATAAAGCCCTTTGGCATCAAATTGTAGTTAATTTTGCCATATAAATTTCGAAATGAATCGAGTTAGTTGACGTTAGTTTGAATAATTTTTTTTATCCATTTCCATTTTTGATCTGAAGAAGGGAGGGTGGCATTGTACATGCCACCGTCCAAAAGAAATCAAAAATGGAAACGGATGAAGATTTTTCATTCAAACTGGACGTCAATTGACTCACAATAAAGTATTTGAAACGAATATCACAAATTTGAAAAAATTATTGAAAGTTCTACATTTTGTAGGGAGGGTGGCATTGTACACCGTCCAAAAGAAATTTTACTTCAGTTCAAAATATTCTAAATTTTTTTTATAGATGAGGAATGCCAGGAAATTTTGCAGCAACAACAAAAGCACAAAAATTCAGGAAGTAGTGCTGAAATGGTTTATACAAAAACCTCAGCCGTTGCTTGTTTCAATGAGGCCATTCCTGTAATGCAATACATATGCAGTAAATTGGAAGAAACCAAATCGTGAGTATTTTTCTCCCGTCGATAATTGAATGTTTCGTTGATGCGTAGTTGTTTTATAGTTGATGACTTTGACTGTCTTCAAATGCAGTACCAGAACTGTTAAAAAAATAAGGTGGATGTTTAAATTTCGGGGGCATGTACAATCGATAAGCAATTTTCAAAATGTTGGTAAATTCGTCTGTTTAGCATTTTTAGTTTGTTGGTGAGAGGCATAAAAGTTAGAAGTGATTTGCGTGTTGGGCTAAAAAAAATAATCAAATAATGTGCTTCAATTATTATCCAAACCTTATTTTTCATGGAAATCCGTACTGCTTGTGACAGAGATTTTCCAAAAGCCTTTTTTGATTTGACAAACTTTTGTTTTCAGGATGTCGAAATCATCGGATATGATGGTATTCCTATTAGAGTGTCTTCTAACTTTCGTCAACACTTTACCTCAAACCGTTCATTCAAATATCCATTTCACGACATTTCTTTGGCAACGCTTCTGTCCTGCCTTATTGGCCCTTCTTGGAGCACCAGGAGATACATCTGGACAAGCACTTACAACAAGCCAATCGAAGATTGTGTACAGGTATGATATTATATTTTACAGGGGCAGGAAAATGGTTATTTTACAATACTAGTGCGACAAGAGAGAAAAGTTGATAGAAAAAGTAGAGAGGAATCAGCTCGCTGCGCAAACCAAGGTTCTGTGTTTAGAACCAATTTACTACCTAATGAAAGTAATGAATTCAATATGAACGTTCAATGGGTTATTGGTGAAAGTCTTTATTTTTAAATTGTACAAAAGGCAATTTTGAGTACTGTAGTCCTGGTTGAACCGCGTCTGTAGCTTTCATCTGTTCGACGTTTCAACTTCTGCTTTGAATCCATTTTCAAGACCCCCTTGAAACTGAAGTTACATCACTCGAAGACGTGGTCATAATCTTCCTGACCTCAAGTAACGTCACTGGCTTTGTTCAGTTTCAGGTGAACACTGATACAGTACACATTACGGCTAATGGCGAGCGATCGCGCAGGTATAGACTCTCCCAACTAAATTTCTACGAAGAGCCCCCTGCCGACCAGTGTCGTTCCAATAATAATTAGTTTTAATTAAGGTGGCAAATGGAACATGACTTCCTTATAATTTCTATTCATATTTTATTTAGTATTATAAGTAGTGGTACAATTCAATAAAATGTTATATAATGATACACTTATCTGAAAATAAACTTTAATCAGTCACTATCTGAATACAAATTTCCTTCATCTCCACTGCTGCTTGTGCTGCTATCTCATTTAAATTTATAATCACTGGATTTACCTCTCTTTCAACGTCTGTGAATATTTCATTTTCTCAATATTTTCGCTCTATATCTACTACATGTCGGCAACGCTCTTGACATTCCTCGGAAGTGATTTGATCAAACTCGTGCTCGGCCAGTTTTTCTCAAATTTTCCAACTTAAAAGTTACATTCTTTTGGGACACATTGTTTTTGACAGTAGCCCAAATGAGTTCAATGGGATTCAAATCCGGATGGTAACGCAAAACGTTATGTCCGCGTTCAACTAGAACCTCATCAAAAAATATCTAACATGATGATTTTTATTTACGTTGATAAACTCGTATAATTCGGGTTTGAACATGTTCGGGGTGGACATGATGCATTTTTTGTGCAGCCACTTCACCATGTTAGCCTTCCTAAAATTTTTGTCGAGGGTTATTAGTTTGAATATTATTGTATGGAGCATTATCGGTCACGACTACCGAATCCCCAGGTAAATTTGAGATTAGCTTTTCTTGTAACTATTTATAGTATTTCCAATACCAATTGGAACAGCACAGAGAAGGAATTCCCGCCTCGACATAGGCGTCGGCATATTATTTTTTAGTGATAGTTTTTCGGTTACTTATTCTTACAATCATAGCAATTGATAACCCCATGAAAGAGTTATCTCAACTGAATTTTTCCACCATGAAAAACTTCGAAACACTCGAACACTCTAAAATACAATGAAAACACAAATAATCACACCGAATTTTCGTCAAACATATATTTACAAAATAATAGAGGCCAACAAAATTGCTACAAAAATCAAAATTCTTCTTCGCTATATTCGGATGAGGTGGAATCATCATCGGGTTGAATAACGATCGGATTTTTGGAACTTTGCACATAATATGTGTTCTCTTCTTTTATAACGTGGGCCACACAGTTCTTCCACACATCACTATTACCTACTTCATTCACCACTCACCTTATATTGTCAAGTACCACAGCATTCAAAGTCGGTGACTGATTACATTTCCGCAAGCTTTCTTTCATTGTGGCCCAAACCATTTCAATTGGATGGAACACACAATAGTATGGATGCAAACGTAAGAGGATATGACCACGTGTTTCACACATCGAATCAATAAGATAATCTTTTTTGAAATCATCTTGCTTTGTCAACGATATATTAAAAAGCGGACAAATTAATTTGCAGGTAGTGGTTCCACTAGTTAATTACCGAAAAATCAGTTAGGATAATCATCATTTAACAAACAAAGTCCACATCGGACCAAAAAACTTGAGGTATATAAACAGCTAACCCTTGTCTTTAGATTCATTATCAATTTGCTTCTCCTGAAGATACTAACCTTGTTAGCGAAACTCGCGTCGACTGCAAAAATATCAGTTTGGTGTTAGGGTAATTGATCTCTAGAAAAAGTTTTCAAAAATCGGTTTGCAAAACCACTCACTACCTCACCTAACCCCACGAACACACGGCACTGATGAAGACATATTGTGAAACGGACAAATTATTAGTATTCAGCCAGTCCAGCTAGCCGACGTTTATTCCTCAACTACATTTGATAGCACGTTTACTAACTATCTGGGCGACTAGGGGTCACAGGCCAGAAATGTTTATGACTGTACCAGGGACGCTTTGAACATAAAAGCACTGGTAGTATATATATTTCCCATTTACCGGGCAGTGATTATGAACACCCTTCGTAGTGCTCTTATTTTTATTGCCGTTCCAATTGGGAATGGACAGACTATACCATACTTTCCGGAATTAATTTCCCTGATGTTGTGCCTGCTTTAAATATAACTCGACAATTTGGTATAAAGCCTATGTCACCTTCTGCATGGACAATAATGAGTCTTGGTCTCATAGCCTTTTGGATGATTTATTCGTCCAGTTCTTGTAAGATGTATGTCTACTATGGAGGTATGTTTCATCAAGAAACACAATTGGTCGCTGTTGGGTACGAAAATAATTTATTTTCTGTAAATACTTGATCCTCAATGCTCTAATGTCCATTTTCTCTATCACAGTTTTTCTATTACTTTCAGTCTTTTTCATTTGAAACATATTTTCTTCAAAACTCCTCCAAGAGATGTTTCGGAAGCCACAATTTCCAAAACGTCATTAATTTTGTGTTGGAACTTCTTTATCGTAATACGGCACCCTCCAGTCTTATGAAAGTCGTAAATAATCCATCTAATATTGGAAAACCTATACCCGGAAATATCAGTTACTGGTGCTCTTCTAGGCCACATCTTTCCTGTGGTGGAAAATTTTACTCCTCTGTTATTGGCAGAAATTAATTGCTCCCCACTCTTTCAATGGTGAATTATTTAACGTGCCTGAATCTTGATGACTGGTTTGGTAAGACGCGGCTATGAGTTTGTATAGTTCCTTGGGTATGTTGCTGTTGTCAATGAGAGCTATAGATCGGTGTATAATATAATTCAAAACGGAATTCAGCTGAGCTGGGAGAAGTCTATATCAACTTGGGTGTACACAAACAAATTCACACTACAATCAATAAACAAGTTTCGTCACTAATTCATCCATACACCTACCACACATGGAGAAGTATTTTATATCGTGGTCCAAAATGATTCAATCTTCTACTAGTTAGCATATTTCCAATTTCAATAAATTCAAAAAGTCGATCAGGACATTCATTATGTTCAATACCGAACTTTACGATGTTCAGCAAATTCTTCATCATTTCCAATACTCATTCAAATCCACAGGCATCGCTCTAAGAGCACCTTAAGAATTTTCCTTCAGTGCATTAATCTTCATAGTAAGGGTAATGAAACTGTAAATGATATTTGAAATAAATTTGCCTACTACTACTACTATTACATCTGACACGACACATAATCTAAATAGCGACGTTAAGAAACCATTATTTCACTTGACTGGCAATACACCTTATTAAAATTTTCCACTTGTATAGTATCACACCAAATCTGAACTATCCGTTTCATGCCCAGTTTGAATACTTTTCGATTGATTTTTTGCAGCATTGGTATCCAGGTGGTGCGACTTGTTGGAAGAGAAAGACCTCTGAGACCAGTATTAGAGGCTTTGTTCCATAGAATGTTGCTATTACCCAACCCTCAAAAAAGACTAGAACCCTTGAGGGCTGCAAGAGAGCTTCTGAGATCTCCAGGACGACTGGCAGATCTTCTATTACTGAGTGGACCAATTCAAAGACACGCAGGTGACGATATGGCAATTATAAGACTGTGAGTATATATATATTCAACCGTTCTATGTATGTTAGTCCATAAAAAAGTGTATCAGGCAAGAGGCCGAAACTGTGAAGAAGCCAATCGTGGAAGATTTATTAGGATCTCTGAGGATCTTTGAAGAGAAGCCTCATGTCTCCTAACTTTTGAACAGGTATAGATATCAATGTTGATGAAAAAGAAGGTGAGACGAAACGTACTGTTGAAAGTATGCTATTCACTTTTTTATACAAAAAAAAAAGAAAGTTGTTGTGTCATCTCGTTTTTTTGGAAATCCATCAAGAAGTCACAGCACCTCTGAGCCGAGGAAATATCTAGTGGTAATTTTTGAGTTCAGCATTCATTGAGGTGATTGTTTCATGGTTAGTTTCTGCAGTTGAGCCATATTGCAGTTGCCTATCATAATTATAAGGTGGATTTGATAGAACGATATGCTCTAATGGAAATTAAAAATATACACAAAGAGTAATAAGAGCCCCAATATTGATCCCTGCAGTACCGTTAGAGTAACAGGCAAAGGGTTTGATACTCTGTCGCCCAATTTGATCCTCTGGGTTCCATTAGTTGGGTAGTTTTTGAGAAGTGTCACTATTTTTATTCGGGTTTGAAGGCCGTCGATTTTTGTTATTTCTTGCTGACGTTTCGCTGGCACAAGTGGCTAGCCTCTTCAGAGGTTCATACATCTTGAGTTCAACGCCGAGGACTGGATTTTACGGCTGCGTAAAGCGTTTTTATGTTGATTCAGATAGTTTGATGTGCTAATACTTGTACCTGAATCATCAATAACATTCGTGAGTAGACCCACAACACACATATGACCCATTGTACATCCTCCCGAGGAGTTGTCCTTCTAAGTCATCGTTCATCCTGTCGTTTCCTGGAAGGCGGACAGGTCACTAGGAGATATCTCCTTTATATCGGAAGGCGTAGGCCAAGACTCGCCAAACACACACTCTCTTTGTCAACCTTGAGGTGCCTCACGGTGGCAAAGGTTTTGGAAGGTGCAGCGACATTACTGTCGTTGCGCAGCTTCTTCAATCTTCTTGGAGTTCCTTTCGTGAAGGTGCACAAGTGAGGGAGCTTTCCTGCAGGGGCAGCCGAGCCAGTTCTTAGCCTTTATTCAAGGCGTAGCTCTTGGCGCCCGCCGCCGGAAGTTCCCTTGCTGTTGGAGGTGGAGTAGGGGAGGAAGAGGAATCACTTATAGTTGCTGCCACGCCTGACTCATTTGCACTCTTTCACCTTTTGGTCTCGGCGCCGCAAATGCGCTTACGTATTGGCCTTTGTATTACATCACGAGATGATCTGCTATGTCCAGCCTAATTTCAAGCGGTAGATTGGGGTGAACATTACTGTTCATTCCCACTGCCACCGCCTTAGATGGAGGTGAGCACTTCTGTCCAGCCTCGGGATTGGTTTTTGATGTTTTTGTTTTTGAGTTTGTTTCATGCATGTGTGTTCCCACAAGTAGGGGAAGAGTTAGTCACCTCTGGCAGAGCCCCGCATCACCAGAGGTAGGCTGATTACAATAAGGTTTCGACCAGTTCCCCAAGGGGATCGTTCGTAACTGCATATCACCCTGCGGCCACTCAGCTGTCGGCACGATTCCTTACACTTCAGTCCCTTGGCTGTTTCCCTAAATGCCACCTGGGGATGCGCCCGATAGGTAGCCCAACCCACAGGCATGATGTTTGTTATTCTTGAACTTTTCAGAATGGAATTCCATATTTGATGTTTGTGTATCTCTATTGCCTCCCGTACCACTCGATTATTGTATCCCTGGTTGAAGGCAATGAGTTTCGCGTTTTCAAACAGAATCCTGTGGTTTCGGTCACTGAGTGCATGTTCCGCCACAGCCTACTTGTCCGGTTGGCATAGCATTCATTTTCTTTCATGCTCCTTCAGCCGTGTTTCCACGGATCTTTTGGTGGTTCCGATGTATACCTTCCCACAATTGCACGGTATGCAATATACCCCTGCTGCTGATAGTTTTGTTGTATCTTCTTGGTGGGTTTGAAAACCGTTTTAATGTTCTATTTCTCCATTTCTGTCTGTGACACTGAGCCTCCTCCCCGTTTCGAAGTGTGGAACTCTCCAGTTTCACTGCAGTCGACTGTGGCGAAACGCGCACTCAGTGAAGGAAACCACAGGATTCTGTTGGAAAAAATCTGTTTTTTCGTTAACCAGCTGTTTGAAAACACGAAACTCATTGCTCCCAACCAAAGATACGAAGACTACGAAGATACGAAGACAAAGATAAGAACGACTAGTTCGGGATGCAACAGAGATACACAAATACACGGATAACTTCAACAGGAAAGAAGAAGTTGTGATCCTCAACCGAATATGGAATCCCATTGAAAGAAGTTCAAGAATAACAAACAACATGACATAAAATCACGCCTTACGCAGTCGTAATACCCCGTCATCGGAGATAAACTCAAGATGTACGAACTTCTGGAGAAGCCAGCTAATCGCTCTAGCGAAGTCAGGAAGAAATTAAAAAAATCGAGAACCTTCAATCTTGAATGAAAAGAGTCACACTAAAAACCGTCGCCGCGAAAGCCCCAACCATTTTGTAAGTTTTTGAGCAGATTCGCTGAAATCGAAGGCCGCATTCTTGTCTGATGTTGCCAATGATGGTTTCTATTTCTTCATGCTGGTTACACAGTGAATATTCCAAACGATGACCTACAATTTGAACGCTAACCTGTGACCTTTCCTTTTCACTATTTCCTAACAACTGAATTTTCTGGAAAGTGCTACATTTTCTTTATTTTCCAGGATAATGGACTCAATAGAAGAATGTTCGCAGTGTAATGATACCGGTGTCTTACTAGCTAGTGTAGAATGCGTAGCCGCCCTTTTGGGCTCCCTAGAATCCCTTTGTAGAGGGGAAGGTCTGAACCAAGAAGCAGCAGATTTGACCAATA